GATCTATCCATCTATATATATATATAGATCTATCCATCTATATATATATATAGATCTATCCATCCATCTATCTAGATCTATCCATCCATCTATCTAGATCTATCCATCCATCTATCCATCCATCCATCCATCTATCTGATACAAGGATATAGTCTCCTCAAATAATGGAGGAGGCCAAAGATTAATCTTTGGTGACCAAGACCACCCCCCGTCTCCTCCATTGCACCTGCTGATGGATAAATTGCGCCCTCCACTCGCCAGGATACGTCACTGCGCTGCCTCGGATAAGGAAAACAAAACGTACCTCTGACCTTCTCCACGGGTGAACTCCTCCCCACTTGAATATCGTGCACAAAAAAACATAGGTTCAATTCCAGTCCAGAAAATAACTCACTTCAAAAACTACAAACATTCACTCCAAATCACTCAGCGTACTGTTTGTTTGATTTGACCTCTAACTCTGTATTAGCTCACCTGATGATGCTTTGGTTTTTACATCTGTACTCTCCGTTTGAATGAAATCAGGGCCTCAATAGTGAATGCATGTAGCTTCAATAGTTGCAAACTAACAACATTTCTAAAAATGTACTGTTTTCATTTCAGGTTTTCAGGTATTTCAAAGCTCTAAATTATTGACTACCTGATTGTGGAACAGATATTAAAAATAGTATTTTTAAGCAGTTAAGTGAAGTGGTCAATTTGCCCCCTAAGGAAGGCTCAATTTCACAAAGCTAAAGGACCTTCCAGGAGTTACATATGGCTAAGATGAAACATTTTCTTACGTGGGATCTTCTCAAATCCTCTCCTGACTGGGAGGAGTAAGTCCCAATAAAATAGGGGGTTTTCTTCTCAGACCCTGTAATAATTTAAATGAAAGAAATCAGATTTTATCTGTTACCGGTCACACTAAAACACAAAGGCACCATGGAACGTCCCTGAGGGACTCCACACAGCTAACCTGTATACTGTCTTTTGTGTACACTGTCTCCATAATACGTGTCAAGTTGCATAGATGACTGAGCTCTCTGGTAGTTCGAGCTGTGTCTTCTTATTCCGAGCATCGCTGGTGAGGATGTTGCACTGCCTCCTGGGGAAATCCGTAACAAAAAATGAACTCTAAAAGAAATGTTTAACGACATATAGGAGAATGAAACAGAGCTCAAACCTGACTGGATCACTGGCGACATCTGCAGCGGGCTGGTGGGCAGGGTTGGCTGAGAACGGTAGCGATCTCGCTCCAGAGTTGACACAGGGGTGACAAAGTGGGTGTAGTTCCACCCGTCCTGTTCATAGATGGGTCGACAAAATGCTTTTAATGTCAGAGGGGAACAACAGATGGACTTTTATAAAAATGTGACTTTTCCAAGAGGTCACACTCACCTGTTTGTAAAGGCTCCTCAACTCTCTGTACTGCCACAAAGTGTTTAACACCTGAGCTGCGGCCTTCACAACCTTCATGGAGTACCTGGAGAACAAAATGCACCCAGTTACACAGAAATCTGTGATTTACACTTTTGTTGGCATCAATTTCAACACTGTACAAAAACACACGCATATATATATATATATATATATATATATATATATATATATATAGTAGTCCCTCAATTATTGCAGGGGATCCGTACCCTGAACCCCCGCGATAAGTGAAAAACTGCAAAGTAGAAATAGTGGTACAAGTAGTAATTTATTTTAGTATTTAAATATTAAGGCATTTTAAACCCTTCCAACACTTTTGCAATATTCTAAACAATGTTTCTAAACTCTAAACTCTCTAAGAGAGCACAGAATGTCACGAGTTCAGCTCCCTGCCTCCTCTGCTATTTGCCACTTGCAAGCGTTCTTGGCCACGCCCACTTCTCCGCTCTGCACAGAGAGCAGCCTATCAGCTGCAGCAGGAAGCTTATCCTGCAGTGTGGGCTGCGCACACGTGCAGCAGGTGCAAAATAATTTAAAATAATTCATTTTGAATAAAAATTACATGCCGATCGTGTGGCTCAGCCATCAATCAGCTAATTATGTGTCATGTCCAATCTTATTTTTGAAAAACCGCGATAGAGCAAGTCCGCGATTAACGAGCCGCACGAGCCGCAATGTAGCGAGGGACTACTGTGTATATATACACACAGTATATATATATAAGTAGTACAGGATAAGCAGAAGTATGTAATTCTTGTTTTGAATCTTCAGTGTTTTATTTGAATCCTTCTTCCAGAGTGCAATGGTTACACAACATACAAATTAAATTACTCTTTTAAAAACATTAGTTGTGAGCACTTTCAAATTTATTGTGGATTTTGGATCGCCCACACAGGCTCAACATTTTACACAAACAATTTCCTGCGGGATCAATAAAGTTCTATCTTATCTTAAATCTTTTGGCAAGTGCTGCGAGAATATCGTAACAAGACCAAGGCCTCCGCGTTTTCACTTCTGGACTTCCGGTGACGTCGACAAGATGGCTGCATAAAATGTAGCATTCTTGACTGAAATCAAATGATTTCAGTCCTTGATACGCCCACAACCCAAGAATGTATCATGAAAAACACCTCGAAGATGAACTCGAATAGACACTTGAAGCCCAGTACAAAAGAAAAGAGAACTGATAAGAGCACTAACTATGGTTCAGGTTGCACTAGCCTGGAGGATAGCAACAACACCACCGAAGATGCTAACCTGATAGCCACTAGCAGCAATCAACGCCCTGTTGTAGCCAAAGTTATGGCTAAGGGGCAGGATGAACTAAAATCACTGATGAAGGGGGATCTCTCTGACTTTCGGGAGACATTAAAAGGTGGCAAGAAGGTCCAATTAAATCAGTTAAGTGCTAACATCAATCAGAAAATACAAACTGCTATCGGAAAGACTGAGGAAGCTAGACGGCGCCTGGTGGAGTTTGAGAAAAATATGGCCAGGGCAGAAAAGTGGGATTTGGCCGTGAAGGACACTACTTGATCTACTCAATAACTAACGAGCCCTACAAAAACTGTCTGTCGTGTTTCTGCACTTTTCATGTCATTTTTCTGCCTTGTCATGCTCTACTCTCCAATTTGACCTCTCTGCCACACCCACACTGCACCACAGCTCAATCAGCCTCATGCGCTGCACCTGCTGCCTGCCAGATTATTGAACCATTCATGGTATTAGATGTCCAGCCATTTGTCCATGTTCACGCCCGACCTTCTTGTCTTGACCTCACGCCTCGTCTTTAGGATTTACCTCTCTGCCTGCCCCTCACCTGATTGTGTCTGCCCATCTGATCCTGGTTTTGAATACTTCTTCTGTCTGTAGATTTCTGGATTACGGTTTGCCCCTTTTGGACTTATTATTCGAACTCTGATTACCTGTGCACGACCCCTGATTCGTCTCTCAGACCCCGCTCTTGGATTTGCCCTACAGACCACGTTCATTACAATGCTCCTTCCCTTCCCAGCTGCCCTGAAACCAGTACCCGTGATGTCACCTCCTCACACTCTGTCAGGTGGCTCTCAACTCATCCACCTGTGTAGATTTATTCTCTCCAGCAGCTGCAAGTCAAATAAATTGTTTTTGTCTGTTTTATCATTGTTTGGCTATATTTTGCATCCAAAAACCCTGACTTTTGACACTGTTGGACCTAAAGAATACAGTAGCTCCCGCTGGAAGAACATCCACATAGATGGCGCCTTGGAGAGTGAAACCCCACAGGGCAGCTCCGTAACACGGTTTGTTGAGAATCTATTAATGACCGAGCTAGGTGACAACTTGGACATTCAGCGGGGAGCAGACCTGGGAATCAAACGGGCTCACAGAACACTGGACCCCCGGCCACTGCCCAGAGCACCAGCACGTTTCATAGCAGTTACTTTTTTGAGATTTACTACAAAGGATAAGGTCCTCCAGGAGGCCTGGAAGAAACAGCTGTTTGTTCACAACAGACGAGTTTACTTTGATCACTATTACACAGCGGACATGCAGAAGAAACAAAAGGAATTTATCCCGATCAAGAAAGTGCTTACAGATAACCACATCCGCTTCCAGACGCCGCTGAAAACGGTGAGAATACAATTCCCTACTGGGACCCTGCAATGACCCGGCAAAGACTGGTTCATCCCAAAGATCCAGTCCCCCGGCACAAACAAAGTAATATTGTGAATGCTGTTCAGTGTCAGGAGGACTGTGATCGTCTTGCATCGGGGAAACTAAACAGCCACTGGTCAAAAGGATGGACCAGCACCGAAGAGCAACATCATCAGGCCAGGACTCTGCGGTCTACACTCATCTCCAGGCCAGCGGTCACTCGTTCAGAGATAAAGATGTACACATTCTAGAGAGGAATGATGGTTTGAGAGAGGAGTAAAGGAGGCCATCTTTGTGAAAAGAAATTGTCCATCATTAAACAGGGGTAGAGGCCTCCATGTTCAACTGTCCCCCTCTTACAATGCTGTTATTGCTAGTATCACTCAGCCCCCTGTGAATAGCAAGCAGCCATCAGGGCACTAACGATCCATTGTTTGGTTAATAGTCCTCCTTTATCATGTTAACAGCTAGTTTTGGATGTCACCAGTGGTTGTGACCTGCAATGACCTGCAAGACCTGCAATGACGCCCATGAAGCAGCCGAGGAGATGGAAACGCACGGCTGGTTGAATGAATGTTGAATGAATGAATGAATGGCTACCCGATGGGACCAATACGATGGAAGAAACCCAGTGACCATAACGTGAAGACCAAGGCCTCGATAATTTCTGCACAGCACTCATTGGATTGACCTATATTCACCTATCCCCTGCTCCAATATCAAAACCTTTAAGCTGGACTCAAACGTACCGCTGCCCACATAAACAAGATAAACGTCTTCTGTAGAAAGTTGCTCAGTAGTGATAACAGGCCCTTTCACACAACAGTTCTGGAAAATGGCCAGTGATGGAGCCGGCCACAATCCGCACAGATGTGACCTTTCAAAAATTAATTGAGCATCACAGCTGTTTTTGTTTCGTTTTTTTTTTACTACCATTTTCTTTCATTTGTTCTTCTCAGTTTGTATGCATTATTTTATGATTGCCTATTGTGTCTTTGTTGTCTACTGTTGTCATCATTCTTTGTTAAAATCAGGTCTCTCCTGTAAATGAGTCCTCGAGGCTCAATGGGATTAACCTGTATAAATAAAGGATGAATGAAAAAAAAAAAAACTAAAGAGGTGTGGAGCTGAACTCAGCTGTGTTGACATGGAGCACTAAACAACAAAGGACTCCATCATCACCTCAAACTAACAGCTAACATTTTGTGAGTCTGTAGCATCTCATAAACTTGCTGCTTACCTACTTTAGCAGCAACAAGAACACAACTGAAGGAGTTTATTAAACATAACACTTCTATTTTTGTACCCTTTCCCTCGGCCTTTGCTGATGTCCACCAGCTTCTCGACGCCTCCGCTGTCGGCTAAGGCTTTGGCGTTCTCTATGTTGCGGCTGGTGACCTCGTGCAGCGTGCAGCAGACCGACGCCACCGTGTCATCCGACAGCAACGAGGGACTGCCGCCGGGCAGACGGTTCACCAGATCCCGCATGGCGTACTTTCCTGCAGGACCAGAGTCAGAAAGCAGACGTCAGAAACCTTCGTATTGCTTCACGTCTTCGCAGAGACAGTAGCTCAGTTCAGGGTGTATCAGTAAATGCTTCATCATTCTTTCTTAATTTCAAACATTAAACCTCACCAGTAGCTGGATCTTAGTGTTTTGTGTTGCAGTTTAGATGTTTTGCAAATGTTTTTTGTCTGTGTTGTTTTCACCACAGGGGGGCAACGTTTCATAAAGACGGCTCTGAACAAGCTCTTGATGTTTCTACCTGAAGTCTGAAGATCACAGCTTTCTTTATAAACCACCTTATGACACCGCAGGATCAAAGTGCTGCACAGTTACAGACTATGTGTTTGTGTTAAGTTAATACCTATCAGCTCCTTGTTGCGGCTATCCAGCGCCATATTTCGGAGTGCGGTGGCAACAGAGCAGACAACCCGGTCATTGTCCATTCTCAGCAGCTCCACCAAGATGGGCAAGCCTTTCTCCTTTCGCACAGCTGCTCGAATGTATGCTGAGAACTGAGGAAAAAAAAAGAAAAACACTTCTGATTTCTAAAAGGACTATTTGACCTGGTCTGACTTTTCAAACAGCAAAACAAAGCATAGTTTTGTGAAAAAGCAGCCAAAATCCTACAAAATTTTGGAAATCAATTCAGAAAGACTGGAGAGCTACAGCTGTACCTCGGATGATTTATTTTTAGTTTGGAGAATTTAATGTGAGGCTGGAATTAAGACTTTTGCACAGAACTATATATGCAGATGACACTTTACAAATTCATCTTAAACATTTCTCGTCTTTAGGAGATCGGTTCAAGTTTTAGGCATTTTAAAGTGGTGTTGAAACCAGTTCTGCAAAACGAAACACATTTTCATCTACCTGTAAAAATATAAAACTTTTTTTTAACGAGACCAAAAGAAATCCTGATCTCGATGTGAAGTTAACCAGAGGTGTCCTACCTTCCAGCTCCCAGCAGACAGGTTCTGTAAGGAGCCGGCGGCCCCCTCCAGCGTGGCGGGGTTGGAACTTTCAGCCAGCAGGTTGAGGTACGGCTTCACCACCATGGGGTGCCACAGAAGCTCCGCCCCTCTCAGAGACTGACAGAAACCCGGGACCGGTCCAATGCCGTCCCACTACAATAAACACAAAATAAGATGCAGTAAGACTCGGTATGTATGTCTATAAACATTCGTTGAGGGATTTATTGCCCTTTTTTGGTGCTGCTGTTTATGCTAATCTCCCCTTCTTTAAAATAGTTTTGTGTCATATTTTTACCTCATTTTGTGAATCTTGTGGTCATATTTGAAACCCTTTTTGACCTATCCAACATTTTTCAGTCAGGTCATCTGGACAGTTTCTTTTTTTGTGTGTGTGTGCTGAAATGAGGCTGATGAAGCCTTCCGGACCGAAGGCGAAACGTTTCAGCACAAAAAAAAGAAACTGTCCAGATGACATGACTGAAAAATGTTGGATTGTATACCTAGTTTATTGAGCATGGACTTTGTTCCTTTTTGACCTACTCTTTGCATCAGAGTCATTTTGGTTGTTGTTTAAGATGTTATTAGCCCTAACATGATGTGTTCATGGTTCATGGTTCTTTATTGTCATTTAAATCAAAAGTGGTACATGAAGTGGAATGAAATTGTGTACTCAAGGTCCCAGTTACACCAAAAAATAGCAAAAAATATAAAGTATAACAAAAGAAACAGTAGGGTTCCCAACCCTAGTCCCTGAGGAACACCATCCTGCATGTTTTAGCTGTTTCCCTGCTTTGATGAACCTGATTTGAATGATTTGGTGATTAACAGGCTTCAGCAGAGCTTGAGGAAGTAAATAAATAATTGAATCAGGTGTGATGAAGCAGGGAACCAGCTACAAAATGCAGAGTGGTGTTCCTCAGGGACAAGGGTTGGGAACCACTGTGTTAAACAATAATAATGTATATTAAACAACACCCTGAACATGTGCTTTGTGCAACATTTCTTAGGTTTTTATTGTTCGTGCGCATTTGTCTGTTAGTGAAATTTCATTATCCACTGGATAAGTGTGTGAGTGTGTAAGTCACAAAGTAAATGTCTGACCAATATTCTGATCAGCTAACAGACATTAGCAAACACAAAAATTAGGTCTGTCTTTTTTGGTTTATAAATTCTGACATAAAGAGATAGAACCTTAACTTTTAAAAATCAGTGTGGTCGTTCCTGAGAGTCATTCACATCACAGTAACTGCTTACTTGACATGTTTGTTTGCAATGTTGACATTTAAACAGTGAAAACGGAAAGATTTACTACAACAAAACAAAAATGTTTCCAAAATCAGCCGCTTCTTTCCTCCTCTGTACCTTGCCTTCAGGCCAGCCACTCCTCTTCCTCCCGCGCCTCCTCTTTCCCCAGCAGATGTAGTCCAGCTCCTTGGCTGGGGAGGAGAAACCCAGCAAGGTGTCCAGCTCCTGGTTGCCAAGGAGACGGGAGGAGGGCATCTCCACCTCCAGCCGGTACGAGAGGTTCCTCAGGGTGCAGATGCTGTTCTCCACAATCTCAGATAGAGAAACATTCAAGTCACTCAGCTACAATAAAAAAATAAAAGTTTGAGCCTACATTTTTCAAGCTGATCCTCTAAAAGATTTGTGGCTTTTATATAAATGCTATGTTGGAATAAATCATCAACATAATTGAATTTCCATTATCTTTAATTTGAAACAATTCTTCCTTGAAAGAGTTTTGAAAGATTCAATTTGTTTTTAGAGGATAAAAACAAAAAGGATGGAATGAGATCTTTTAAAATTTAAACGAAATTCTGAACAAAATGTAATAAAAAAGAGTTTTTCAATCCTATGCAGATAATATTTCACCTAAATTGTACTTATTATTGTTATTATTATTATTGATAATAATAATGTTAATATTAATATTAGCAGTAGTATTATTAGTAATAATAATAGGAAGAAGAAAAGAACAGCAACAACAACAACAAGATGCAGATGACCCATAGAAGAAGAGCAAGAAGAAGAAGATTATGAAGAAGAACAACAAGAAGAACAGCAACAACAAGATGCAGATGACACATGGAAGAACAACAAGTACAACAA